CTGCTGACTTCTCCTGCTCTGACCCCGGCTCGTTCCGGACCATCCCTCTGCCTGACCCTCTGTACCACTCTGCCCGCTACCTGCTGAACCTGGCTTGTGACCTCGACCATTCTCCGCTTGCTCCCCCTGTACCTACCTGCCCGATTGATATTGACCCGGCCTGCCTGACGACGCTTGCATTGTATGTACTGTTATCTGTGGGTGGTTGGTTTGGTTTGTTTGCACTGTGTTATGTTTTAGTATTGCACTGTGTTTATGTTTGTATTGTTAGTGTTAATAAATTACATTGTTTATAACATATCTGAAGTCTGCGTTTCCCTGCGTCAGTCACACACCTCTGGTCATACCCGGGAGCCCTGACAGCCTGTGACCTCTGTCATCACCCAGACCACATGTCACTCAACAGAGAGGGAGGGGGATGATTGGAGGAGGAAGCCTGCTTTGGGAGTGAGAGATGGTACAAAATGGAAGATTCTTAAAAAAATGGAGGACCGCGTCCATCTCTGTGTGCACGATTGCTACAGTTGGCTCTACTGGTTGCAAAACAGAAGGCTCAGACTAATATACCCTGCATCAGGAACTCACAAGGGATTCTAGTTACCTCTCCTTCTGATACTCTGAGCACATTTGTAAGTTACTATGAAGCCTTATATGCGCCACTTCCTGCAATGAGGGAAATCTAGAGCAGATGCTTAGAACACTCCTCATACCCTCGTTATCGTTAGTGGATAGAGACAGGCTGGAAGACATTAAGGGGGAATAAATAGAACTAACCATTAGGACTTCCCCTCCCCACAAATCACCTGGGCCAGGTGGGTTCTCTATTGAATGGTACAGATTGCACATAGAAACCCTCATTCCTAAGCTTATATCCCTGTATCCTTATTGTTTGGACAATCAAGTACTACCCTCCTCGTTACTTGAGGCTCATGTAGCATTGTTGCCAAAACCGGGCAAGGATCCCATGGAGTGCTCCTCCTATTGGCCTATTGCCCTCCTGAATCAGGATTTGAAAATCCTTACTAAAATCTTGGTCATTAGGCTATCAAAGGTACTTACCACTTTGGTGGATGCTAATCAAACAGGATTCATTCCTGCAAAATCCGCTGACACCAACTTGAGAAGGCTGTTCACACACCTGCAGGTGGAGCATACTACTCAGGAGTCAAGGGTAGTACTTTCCCTGAATATGGAGAAGGCTTTTAAGTGGATTGGACATATATGGCCACTGTATTACACCACATGGGGTTTAGGCCACGGTTTTTAACATGGATTACTCTGTTGTACAGTAGTCCAGTTGCGGCTCTCCATATAGGCATGGAGATCTCTTTTTTCCCAGTGGGCAGAGGTACACAGCAGAGGTGCCCCAATCTCCTTTCCTGTTTGCATGTATGACTGAGCCAATAGCTATAGCTTTGCAGATGTCTTCAGCAGTGAACACTCTTGAGGTGCGAGGTATTCGTGAATGTACAGCTCTATACGCTGCTGATTTGCTACTTTTTCTACAGTACACAGGTCCGACTTTGCATGCTGTTTTTCAAATTTTAGCGGATTGTGCCAGGTTTTTGGGCCTTAGAGTCAATTGGGGCGAAGTCTAGTATTATGCCATTTGACACTGGGGCTCAGGTATATGCTGACTCTAGGGTTGCCTAGGGTTGGTGACTACCTGCAACTAAATTTATTACCTCTGCTCCCTGTGGTGAAACATAGGAGGCTAGAAGCTGTCAGGAATGGACTGGCCAGCAATGGTGGGACTCACCTGCCTTTTGATCTGCAGTACCAGGGCTGGCCAGCGGGTGCTCCCAGCAATCAGAGACTCAACCTTTCAGCCAGCTAACACCTGGAACTGATGATACTGGTGTATTTAAGGGATGGCCAGACTTGCAGACTCTGCCTTGGTGTTGTGTTTGTCCTGGGCCCTGTATCTGTCCTGCATCCTGTTTCTGTTCCTTTGCTGACCCTGCCTGATCTGAACCGCTGCTGACTTCTCCTGCTCTGATCCCGGCTCGCTCCTGACCATCCCTCTGCCTGACCCTCTGTACCACGCTGCTTGCTACCTGTTCTGATCCCTGGCTTGTGACCCTGACCATCCCTCTGCCTGACCCTCTGTACTACACTGCTAGCTACCTGCTGAACCTGGCCTGTGACCCCGACCCATCTCCGCTTGCTCCCCCTGTACCTACCTGCCCTATTGATATTGACCCGGCCTGCCTGACGACGCTTGCTTGTATGTACTGTTATCTGTGGGTGGTTTGTTTGGTTTGTTTGCACTGTATTATGTTTTAGTATTGCACTGCGTTTATGTTTGTATGGTTAGTGTTAATAAATTATATTGTTTATCACATATCTGAAGTCTGCGTTTCCCTGCGTCAGTCACACACCTCTGGTCACACCTGGGAGCCCTGACATTACACCAAGGCCAATCCTGACCAGAAGTGGCTGCACAGGGAAGCCATCTTGGCTTGTTGCTGGGAAGGATGGATCTGGATGAGGTTGAGTATTTATCTCTGCTAGTGTTTGATGACAGAAAATATGCTTATCAAACTCTGAAGGAGTATCCCCGGGATGAACTGCTAGAATGTATACGGCTCGCTCATGTTCTAGTAGATCAGGGCACAGATTTCTCTATGGTGCAGCCATTGATTAAGGTTTGTGTTGAGTTGGTTTCATCTGGTTCCCCCGAATGCAGGGATGAATTTTTGCCACCATTTAGTGCAGACCAGGTAGAGTCCCTGGTGTGGTTATTAGAGGATGATGTGGGTTACTTTCTGGAGCGTTATTCCACATGTTCACCACAGGTACTAAGAGATTGTATAAACGCAGTGCAGTCTTTGGTCAGACAGGCTTTGTGTAAGCTCAGCTTTGTTCAACCCATACTGCAGACATGGACAGACTTGTTGCACCCAGCCTCAGTCAGCTTACAAAGACCCAGTCCTGCTTCTAATCTATTTCCTCAAAGCTCTACTCCTGTATTCCCAACAACTCCCCCAGTTACAGCCCAGTATACTTGGCTATCTACCGCATGTCCGTACCCTGTTCCCACTCGCTGCACCTATCCTGCCTTTAACCCTGTAAAAAAGCCCTCTGTAGCAACTGCTCCCTCTCCTGTTCCATCCTCCAGTTCTTCTCTGTCTCCAGCTGCTCCATTCGTTTGCAGACCTGCGTTTACTTGCAGTGCTCCAGTAGTTAAAACCAGAAAAAAGCGAAAATTCTTTCCAACCAATACCATCCTGCCAGTATCCAAACCGGTGAACCTGCCGTCTGAGAACCTGCCTTCCGTGGTTCAGCCTGAAGCCTCTACTCAGCCTGAATCCCCTACTCAGCCTGATGCCTGTACTCAGCCTGATGCCTCTCTTTGCCTGAAGCCTCTACTCGGCCTGATGCCTCTACTCGGCCTGATGCCTCTACTCGGCCTGAAGCCTCTACTCGGCCTGAAGCCTCTACTCGGCCTGAAGCCTCTACTCGGCCTGAAGCCTCTACTCGGCCTGATGCCTCTACTCGGCCTGATGCCTCTACTCCGCCTGGAGCCTCTACTCAGCCGGACGCCGGCATTCAGCCTGATGCCTCTACCCAGCATGATGAACTGATCCAGCCTGACGATCCTATTAGGCCAATTGACTCGATGCCCGCTGTTGATCCAGATGATCCGGTACCTGATCCGGGTGCCCGCTATCGTGGCCAATTGACTCAGAGCCCGCTGTCGTACCTGGTGACTCGGTGCCCACTGCCTTGCCAGATGACGCGGTGCCCGCTGGCGAGCCAAATGACCTGATGCCTGGTGACCCAGGGCCCGCTGTCATACCTGGTGACCCGATGCCCGCTGTCGAGCCAGACGATCCAATGCCTGGTGACCCGGTGCCCACTGTCGTGCCTGTTGACTCGGAGCCCACTGCCTTGCCAGATGACGCGGTGCCCGCTGTCGAGCCAAATGACCTGATGCCTGGTGACCCGATGCCCGCTGTCCAGTCAGACGATCCAATGTCTGACCCAGTGCCCGCGGTCATACCAGTTGACTCGGAGCCCACTGCCTTGCCAGATGACGTGGTGCCCGCTGTCGAGCCAAATGACCTGATGCCTGGTGACCCGTGCCCGCTGTCATACCTGGTGACCCGATGCCCGCTGTCGAGCCAGACAATCCGGTACCTGATGACCCGGTGCCCACTGTCGTGCCTGTTGACTCGGAGCCCACTGCCTTGCCAGATGACGCGGTGCCCGCTGTCGAGCCAAATGACCTGATGCCTGGTGACCCAATGCCCGCTGTCCGGCCAGACGATTCAATGTGTGCCCCAGTGCCCGCGGTCATGCCAGTTGACTCGGAGCCCACTGCCTTGCCAGATGACGCGGTGCTCGCTGTCGAGCCAAATGACTTGATACCTGGTGACCCGATGACCCGCTGTCCAGTCAGACGATCCAATGTCTGACCCCAGTGCCCGCGGTCATACCAGTTGACTCGGAGCCCACTGCCTTGCCAGATGACGCGGTGCCCGCTGTCGAGCCAAATGACCTGATGCCTGGTGACCCGATGCCCGCTGTCCAGTCAGACGATCCAATGTCTGACCCAGTGCCCGCGGTCATACCAGTTGACTCGGAGCCCACTGCCTTGCCAGATGACGCGGTGCTCGCTGTCGAGCCAAATGACTTGATGCCTGGTGACCCGATGCCCGCTGTCCAGTCAGACGATCCAATGTCTGACCCAGTGCCCCGGTCATACCAGTTGACTCGGAGCCCACTGCCTTGCCAGATGACGCGGTGCCCGCTGTCGAGCCAAATGACCTGATGCCTGGTGACCCGATGCCCGCTGTCCAGCCAGACGATCCAATGTCTGACCCAGTGCCAGTGGTCATGCCAGTTGACTCGGAGCCCACTGTCGTGCCTGGTGACTCGGTGCCCGCCGCTCCGCCTGAGGGCCCGAGACTTGTCGCTCCGCCTGGGGGTCCGGCGCCCGCCGCTCCGCCTGAGGGCCCGAGACCTGTCGCTCCACCTGGGGGTCCGGCGCCCGCCGCTCCGCCTGAGGGCCCGAGACCTGTCGCTCCACCTGGGGGTCCGGCGCCCGCCGCTCCGCCTGAGGGCCCGACACCTGTCGCTCCACCTGGGGGTCCGGCCGCCCGCGCTCCGCCTGAGGGCCCGAGACCTGTCGCTCCATCTGGGGGCCCGATGCCCGTCGCCCCGCCTGGGGGCCCGATGCCCGTCGCCCCGCTGGGGGGCCCTTTCCCCCCCCGGGCCCGTCGCCCGCCCCCGGGGGCCCGGTGCCTGTCGCCCCGCCCGGGGGCCCGGTGCCTGTCGCCCCGCCCGGGGCCCGGTGCCTGCTGCTCCGCCCGGGGGCCCGGTGCCCGCTGCTCCGCCCGGGGGCCCGGTGCCTGCTGCTCCGCCTGGTGGCCCGCTGCCTACCGCCTGTTAATCCGATGTGCCTCTGCCCGGAGTCCTGCCCGATGTGCCTCTGCCCGGAGTCCTGCCCGATGTGCCTCTGCCCGGAGTCCAGCCCGATGTGCCCTCTGCCCTGCCCGGTGTGCCTCTGCCCGATGTGCCTCTGCCGGAGTCCAGCCCGATGTGCCTCTGCCCGGAGTCCAGCCCGATGTGCCTCTGCCCGGAGTCCAGCCCGGTGTGCCGCTGCCCGGAGTCCTGCCCGGTGTGCCAGTCTTTGATATCCCGCCAGTTACCAGACCCGGGCGGTGGAACATTTTTTGCCCAGCTAGGACTGTTTGGAGCGTCCTGAGGCCGCTCCTTGAGGGGGGGGTACTGTCAGAATGGACTGGCCAGCAATGGTGGGACTCACCTGCCTTTTGATCTGCAGTACCAGGGCTGGCCAGCGGGTGCTCCCAGCAATCAGAGACTCAACCTTTCAGCCAGCTAACACCTGGAACTGATGATACTGGTGTATTTAAGGGATGGCCAGACTTGCAGACTCTGCCTTGGTGTTGTGTTTGTCCTGGGCCCTGTATCTGTCCTGCATCCTGTTTCTGTTCCTTTGCTGACCCTGCCCGATCTGAACCGCTGCTGACTTCTCCTGCTCTGATCCCGGCTCGCTCCTGACCATCCCTCTGCCTGACCCTCTGTACCACGCTGCTTGCTACCTGTTCTGATCCCTGGCTTGTGACCCTGACCATCCCTCTGCACTACGCTGCTAGCTACCTGCTGAACCTGGCCTGTGACCCCCGACCCATCTCCGCTTGCTCCCCCTGTACCTACCTGCCCTATTGATCCGGCCTGCCTGACGACGCTTGCTTGTATGTACTGTTATCTGTGGGTGGTTGGTTTGGTTTGTTTGCACTGTATTATGTTTTAGTATTGCACTGCGTTTATGTTTGTATGGTTAGTGTTAATAAATTATATTGTTTATCACATATCTGAAGTCTGCGTTTCCCTGTGTCAGTCACACACCTCTGGTCACACCTGGGAGCCCTGACAGAAGCATTTACCCTTATCCTTGATAGGCAGAGTCGACCTCATTAAAATGAAGATACTCCCGGTCTTTTTGTATTTTCTTAGAAACTCACCAATTTGGGTACCCCGGGCATTTTTTAAACGAATGAACAGTCTCTTTAATTCTTTTCTGTGGCTCTCTTCACGCCCTAGGATACATATATGTACCTTACAGGAATCATCAGGTCAGGGTTGGTTGGCATTGCCAGATCTTTATATTTCTTAGTAGGTCACATGATGTTTGCCAGATGGTAGTTGCTTAGATGCTGAAAATGCTGCCACAATTTGGGAAGCTGCTATCCTGGGGTCATGTGAGAGTCTCTCCAATCTGGTATACATGGGCTTACCCTTGAAAGGTTCTATGTATGCAACTTTCCGGGCTTGGGATAGAGTGCAGGTGATCATGCAACTTGATGGGTTCTGCAACTCCCCCTCTTCCCCATTCTGGTTCTACCCCCGGTTTCTCCATTTCAGCAACATACTGGGCTAGAGTTGGGGGTTAAACGGTTGGAGGACATAGTGGAAAAAGGGAAATTGTGTACTTTTGATCACTTAAAATCTAAATTCAATCTACTTGATATCTGTTCCAATATCAACTGTGGCATACTTTTGACATCCAGTCTGCGTCAGTCACCTTGGTCATTCAATCTTCTAGTTTAGAGCAACTTCTGAGTGATGAATCTACAACTAAGACAGTCTCAGAGGTATATAAGAAATTTGCTTGTGACTTGTCCTAACCTGTCAGTAAATGCAGGGAAACTTGGATGGCCCTTATTTCTAATTATCAGGAGATGATTAGGATGATACGTGAGAGGTACCATTCAAAAGCACTAGTTTCGGTCAGGGATTGTCTCATCCAAGTTAAGCTCCTGCGCAGGATTTATTAGACTCCGGCTAGGTTAGCCAAGATATAATGGGACCTCCCCTCAGCAGAGGAATGTAAGGTGTACAACAGCATCATGTTTTTTTTTCTTGTGCAGCCTCTTTAGCAGACTTCGATCATATTTTTTGGCACCGTTTAGATACACTACCAGAATTTCTGGATTGTTGGTCAATCCGCACTATACAAGAGAGCTTATGTTTCTACAGGTACCATTAACAAAGTCAGCAATGCTTACTTTTAGGATGTTCAAGGAAATTAGCCCCCACTTAGAGCATAGAGGACATTCCTTGTCTGTTAAACTTTGTTCTTATGCCCACATATCAATATTTTTCTCTATATTATCACTATTGGAAACAAAAACCTGAAGCCGCCATCTAAGTCATTTTACTAGAAGGGTATAATCATTAATATAAATCATTGCCCCTATACAATGCCACATATTTACATACGGGATGCCCCATAGAGAAATTTGAATAAGGTTTTTGCCAGTGCTGGTTGCGGACATGTCTACTGCAGATGAGCCCTCCTATTAAATAAATTGCGTGGTTTACATGTCCCTGAGTAAATGAACTTTTGACTGCCTGCTTTGCTGTTCTGAGGAAGGATCTTATTGGTTACAATCAGGTTATAGATCTTTTGCTGGAAGGGGACCTTGCGGCCTA